TTTTTATGTAACGTCAAACTCGAGCTTGGCTCGAGCTCGACTCGAAAATCTCGGGCCTATTATTTCTTAGCTCGAGCTCGGCTCGAACTCGAAATTTCGAGCTTCAGCTCGAGCCGGCTCGGCTCGTTCGGAGCTTTATCCTCAAGCTTTGATATTCACCTTCTTGTTCTAATTCGATGTCATTATTATCTTCTATCACTTGAAATTTAAATTATTTTCAACTATAGAATAAGTTGGAGGCTATGAGATGCAGGTTTAAAACTTCCATTAAATGAGTTAGTAGAGAAGCCAAGCAAGATGGAGTCACCAGCGAAATGGAATATATAAAGGTCTTACCGCTTAAATAAGATAAAGAGGTGGAAAAGTTTTTTTTTTTTGGCCATAATTTTCGATTACACTTTCAGTTTGAATTTTTTTTATTAAAATAAATAAAAATACATTGATATATGCTAAATGAACATATTATTATTATTTTCATTATATATAATTCTATCTAGAATTATGTGTTTATGTTCCTTTTCCAATATAGAATCTATCATAAAGCCTTGGCTCTGTAATCCTTGCATAATTTTTTCAATAAAATAATTAATTGATCTATGTTTAAATTTTGTTTCTTGTAATTTACATGTTATTGTTATTGTATTGTATATTTTAAAAACATGATTTTTCATCACGCTTATATTATTTTTATTGATGAAGTTATGTATACTTTCTAATGTATATTCAATTTCCTTTGAAATATCCACAATATTATTTTTTATTATAATCTATTCTTCACTTGTTGGAAGTCCTTTCTCATTTATCTAATCTTATTATAATTTTACCAATAGATTTTAGGTATCTACATTTAATTTTAATGATGTAGATTTTTCTTTAGTATTAGTTTTTTCACTTGCTATCCATTTTGATGATATATAGTCTATTGCTGATTGTATAATGATTTCTCTAATTTTATCTCATACATTATCTAGCATAGATCTATTTGTGTTTTTAATATTTTTATTATTAAGGAATATAATTCGTTGTTTTATCTTTAAATTGCTTCCATTTTTTTTTTTTTTCATATTATCATACATGTATACTCTTCTTTTAGTCTTGTATCATTTTTATTTGGCTTCTTGTTCAAGTTTTAAAATATTGATTATGGAGAAATGAGGTAGAGATGCTGGAAGGATCCTGTTTCTAAATACATAATTTTATACTAACTATGGTAGAAATAGTCCATTTCTTACCAAAATTAGAATGGAGATCATGATCCATTTATACATAATGCCATAGCTGGTCAGTTATAAGACTGATAATTACATATTCATATATGTACTACAAACAGGGTTTGTATTCACGGATACTGTAAGGAGGTCACACAGGGTTACACACTATAAAAATCAAGTGTTTTTAAGGGATTTTTTGCTGATTTATTTACAAACCCTAACTACAAAAACTTGCATGCTTATTATTATTATCTTAATATTAATATTAATTCAAATTATTTGAATTATTTGCTTTGTTTACTTTATTGCTTTATTTATTTTGCTTTATTCAAATTATTTGTTTTGTTCATTTTGTTCATTTCAATCAATTCATTTCATTCATTTTATTTATTTCATTCAAATTATTCATTTATTTGACTAAACTTTCAATCTAATTTGAATACATAACAATGAAACAAATAATTTGAATAATCCTTATTCAAATAGAAATCCTAAGGATATTCTATTTTTTTTTCAATTCATATATAAAATCCATCATTTTTAAACTCATTGTTTCTGGTTCTAAGATACAACGCCTTAGAGTAATTAAGTCTATTCCTCCAGAAAAAACTCATTCAACCAGTTTGTTAGATTTAGAAATTAATAAATTTAATTCTAAAAACTAATAAATAAAATCCAAGTAGTAATAATACTAAGACCATGCAAAACCGAAATTTTTATGTGTGTATATGCTTCCCAATCCCATACAATTACAAACCACAGAGTTTCTTAAAACTATCTCCAAAAAATAAAATAAATAAATCTATACACAAGTTGCAGAGTTCCTTAAAATCATCTCCAAAAAAAATAAAAAATTAAAAATAAAAAATAAATCTGATATTGATCATAGGTGTCAGATTTAATAAAACTTTCCTTTTACAAATGTACTATCATGCAAATTGCACTCCTCATAACCATAGAATTTCTCTACAGGTGATGCCATTCATACATTAGTAGGCTTTAAGACAAGTGAGAGGCTTTAACAGCCTCTTTGTTAACAACACAATTTAATAGAGCTCAGAACCCTGCTGCCCCTTCCTGAAGCTTAATTGCATTGTCATATCATAGGGACACCAGCTTTGTACACAAGGAATTACTTTAAATACTTTGAGTCTTTAATCAACTCTAAATCCAGTCATCCAGTCAATCTATTCATCCAGTCATCCAATCAATCCAGTCTCAAAAAATTTCTAAAAAAAAAGTTTATTAAAAAAATAATTAGTAACTATTCTGGAATCTTATTAGCAAAGAAAATCTTTAACATGTTGCCTAAATCCAATTATTCCAGTTCCAGTCTCTAGAAAATTTTATTGAAAAATAAGTAAGAAAACTTTTAATGTGTTGTCTGAACAACAAAGTTTTGTGATGTCTAATTTTCTACATTATTGTTATTGATTTTTAAATTTGCTAACTTCCATTTAAGAATGTTTTTCCAAATAACCAGCATCTCATCAACAAAAACAAGAAACTATTTGTGTGTATATTATTTTCATAACATAGGGCTTGAATTTTATTGGCTGATCAACAAGGTGCATGAAAAATGAATATTATTAATTGTTGATCCTTTTATAATTGACAGAAAATTTCCAAATATTATTTAATAAATTATAAGAACCAATATTAAATTCATTTCCTAATGTCAAAAATTCATTGCATTCTTGTTACTCTTTTAAATAAAGGTGCTTTAATAAGCGATTTACATTATGGACCATTCTCTCATTACTGGTGGCAGTCTTCTGATAATGAAAAAGTATTTCCTATTTGCATTGGACAAAGAATAGTAACTCATCTGAATGGGCATGACTTTTATGTTGAAATAGTACATGGAAATAAAGAAAACTGTCATCTTCCAGGCTATATTTGTGAAACAAAAGACTTCTTGTAGTGTTAAAGAAACTAGCCCACAAATGTAATTTCTAATATATATCAGCCAATGTTTGATAATGTGGCAATGAAATTTTATGGGATGGAATGATGAAGAAATTATCAATATGCTTTCAATTATTGAATTATTTTGTCCTTTTTATATTTTTTTAGGTGATTTAAAAATTTTCATCCACTCAATGGGACATTTAGAGGAACAACATTTAAAAAATGGAGGGACTGGTTATCAATCATCACTTATTTATAAATACAAAAAAAAGCATTCATTATTTGTTTCAACAATAGAAGATAATGTTTGTATTATCAAAGTCTACCATGAACATGAGCTTATAGATTAACTTGAAGGTACATCACCAATTGAAGTTTGGAAAAAAACTAACTATATTCAAAAATATGATGGCTACCAACTCTTTGGTTTAGATAATATTATTGTTCAAAATTTTATTAAAAAACATAAAGTTTCAAAATGTATGCCAGATGAATAGAATAATTTCTCACTTATGAAAAATCATTATAACTACAATTTTGAAGAGAAGAGCTCTTCCCAATATAGAATGACATAAATTTTTTACTAATTGGTGAGACCTTTATTCTATTTGTAATGAATATGGATATGAAATTTTTTCAGAAATTGAAGATACTTTGAAAAAAGGCATTGAAAATATTCACATCCAGGTATTTGCATGACACATCAGCATTTGTTAATTATTTTATATATATTCAAGTGCTGACTATGTTAATATTTATCATTAATTAGAAAAAAATAATTGAAGGATTGCAAACCTTGAAAAGATATTTATGAAAAGATATTTCAAAAGAGTTTATTGTCAATCTAGAAGGAGAAGTACTTCATAGTGATTGCATTAGTCATTGTCTTTTTTATGCATTTGGGGAATGTAATCATATACATTCAAATATTTGTAATGGTTGTAATTTTTTTTTTTTTTGAATTATTTAGTGCAAATCTCCAATCAATTATAGAAGAATATCAAAAAAACTAATTTATCTTATGGGACATCATTCAAGAAAAACATACCTAAATGCTCATTAAAAGCAAATTTGACTAAATAAGATCATGAAGAAGCTTTGTTTATTGTAGACTACAAGATGAAAATATTGCCTAAAAATGCATGAGAGACCAAATCAGAGTTATATGGTAAAAGAGGATGGACATTACATTCAGTATTGATATATACTAAAGATATTGGTAATGACAAATTGAGGCTGGAGAAGCAAAAACACCACTAGATTTTCATCATGCAACAGTAAATATACTTTATAGTTTTTTTTGTATTCCACATTAATTAAAGCTCCTCATGAGCTGGCTTGCGAGCCAGATAACTTATTCAGCTTGTGAGGAGCCTTAACATTAATCTATTCTTAAATTTCAGTTAACACATGCAATAAATTGTCATGTAAAATTTGGCTTTACTATTGAATCTGGTGAAGGTATTGAGGTGGCCATAAAAAATACAGCTGGTATACATGTGGCTAATTTAGAACTAAATAGAGTAAAAGGTAAATGAAATATTTTTATTATACATGTGGTAGAAGTAGATAGATTACTGTGATAATTTATTGAGACTTGGCACTAAATTAATTTCTACCACATGTATAAATGAGATGACAAATAAATATATATTTACAGATAATTCTTTGAAAGATAAAACTAAAAAATTAAGTACAATAGCTGGTATTACCAATTGGAATGAATGGGTATGGTTCGATGAAGGTGTTGAAAAAGATGTATTGTTGCACAACCTTTACCAGGGATTGGTTCTTGGATAAAATTTACAATCCAAAAAAAAACAGAACAAATGATAATTCGTAAATAGTAAAATGTTTTTTAGCATTTTTAATTAATACAATTGTCAATTAGCAAACTAAATGCATAAAACTTTTGTTAAAGTAAACAAATCAATGGTACAATCCAAAAAAACAGGACAAATATAAAAACGTTTTAACAATAGGATGATGCTTAAAAGTAAAATAAACAAATAAACAAATAAATGGTATGTATGATCTTCGTCACATTAACTAAATATTAAACGAAAAAAGAAAGATGCTTCGCCACCACCAAAAAGTTATTCTTAGTAGCATTTATGATAAAATATATAAATAACAAAAAAAAATAATGAATTCAATTGTTAAAACTAAATATCTCTTCTTAAATGTAAAATAATCAAAATTTTTATTCTTACTAAACAGTTCTCTTTGATTGGAAAAAAATTATTATTGCACGATAATGTTTATCACGTGGAAAAAGGTATTTAGTTATCTTTATTATATATATTTAAAAATCCATCGATTGATAAAATGCCAACATGGATACAAAATATAATTAATCAATCTTATTAATCTATCTGGAAGATAATAAATAGGTAGAACACAAATAGAAATATAAATAGTTACATTTCTCAAATTCAAATAAATAATAAGCGAAATGGTTTGAATTTTTAGGTTTCGGGTAAGGTTTAGGTTTTGTAACCCGAAACCTAAACTAGACATTTTACCCGAAGCTGTTTCGGGAAGCCAAAAGGGTTTAGGGTTACAACATTGATGCTAACTATAATTGTTTGTTTAAAGATTATTAGGAAAATTTTCAAATTCGAATTTTTAATTAAGATTATCAATTTTTATCGATAGATTTTTTAATTTATAAGAATTAACAGTCTGAACGATTCTGATATAATCATGATAATTATAATGAATTATAATAATTACATTTTACTGGTTAGTAATAGTATTATTGTTGTTATTATTATTATTATTATTATTATTATTATTATTATTATTATTATTATTATTATTATTATTAAGATTTATTTTATTTAGTGTTTTTCGGTAGCTTTATTTTATTTTGACTTGTGCTCGCCCAATATCGCTTAATTAATTTTGCAGTAAGTTCGATAGGAATTACGAAATAAAAAATTTGAACAAAATTTATTGGTATAACTATTTAATTACAAAAAAAATATTAACTATTCTGCCCAGGTAGCTCAGTCGGTAGAGCGTGAGGCTTTTAAAGCTGTAACGTTAGCTGTAGTGCAACCTTAAGGTCCTGGGTTCGAGCCCCAGTCTGGGCGACTAATATTCTTTTTTTTTCATTTTACACAATAAAAATGTCTGATAATTTTGAAATTCAAGAATCAACAATTATATCGAAAGAATCTTTAAGTAATGAAAATTCTACATGGCTTGGTTTATACAAGATAACGTATTTGGATCAGAATGGCCAGAAAAGAGTAATTAACATTACTAATAAAATATATTTTATAACAACCAATTATATATATATATAATAATAATAATAATAATAATAATAATAATTACATGTATGAATAAATTGTTTAGATTTGGGAAACTGTACAAAAGAAAACAAGTAGAATTAATGAAATTGATGGTAATTATTTTAATTATTGAAATAGGCAAATAAAATCATTTTATTTTAATAAATATCTTGACAAAACTTATTAAAATAATATATAATGTATAATATATAGCTGTTGGTGTAATTCCATTATTAAAATCAAGGCATTCAAGCTCAATAAAAACAGTTCTTTGCGTACAATTTCGTCCCACTGTAGGAAGAAAATGTATAGAAATTCCTGGCGGTAAATAATCATAAATCACACAGTAATATGATTTAATATAATAATTCATTCAATTCTCAATTTAATTAATTCATTCGTTCTATCTTTTTCCCTGCTTAGGATTTATTGATAAAGGTGAAACACCTGAACAAGCAGCATTACGAGAATTATATGAGGAGACAGGATATAAAGGTAAAGCTATAACTAAAGTTTCACCTGCTATGTTTAGTGATGTAGGAATAACTGATGGTTGCGTGAAATTGGTTTTGGTCGAGGTGATGAAAACAAAATTTTTTTATTGATTAATTAATCAATTATTATTATCAAAGGAATTAAGAATATATATGTGTGTATATATATATATAATATATTAAAGGTTGATTTAGATGATGAAATTAATAAAAATCCAATTCCAAAACTTGAAGAAGAAGAATTTATTGATATTGTAATAGTTGATTTAAAAGATCTCCTTTCAACTTTACAAGGTTTTTTATTGGTTTATTATCTTTCTCTGATTAGTTAACTTTTAAATGGAAAAAAACAAAATTTACAATAAATAACTAAATTTCTTTAAAAATTTAGAATATGATAAACAAGGATATGGAATAGATTCAAGAATAGGCTCATTTTCTTTAGGTTTATTTATGTCTACTGCAAACAATATAAATAACGAGCAGCTCAAATCTTTTTTATAGCATTTGAAATCTCTATTGTTATATGTTAAGCCTTATCATTTTTATTGTTGTTATTAAAAAAATTTTTTTTTTTTTGAAAATTCATATATCATCAGATTCTTTGAAAAAAATTTTTTTTATTGCCAAGACATGTAGGGCAGTTAGATTTGTTTATCACGATAGTAGTAGTACAAATACACAAAATAAAATAAATGAATTTTTTTTTAATTACAAAGTTTTAAATTTTTTGTCATTTTAACTAACATAAAATTTTACAAATGGTAAGTTGGAAAACTATTGTTTACATTGTGGATGAACTATAATAATGCTAAATAAGTTTACGTAAGATGGAAGGACAACGTTTTATAAACTCAGGAGGGAGAAGCCATCACCCTTTTGAACTTTCAAATCTTATGACATATTAAACCCTTGGTTTGGTTTTAATATCGTCTGCACACATAAATAAAACCAGAAACTTAACCTTAAATTTACTATTTTTTTTTTTTTTATTCTTTTTATTTTATTCTTTTTTTTTTCTTTTATTATTATTATTATTATTATTATTAAATTATTATAGGCTGACCAATTGACTGAAGACCAAATTGCTGAATTCAAAGAAGCATTTTCTCTTTTCGATAAAGATAATGATGGTTCCATTACCACTAAAGAATTGGGTACGGTGATGAGATCTCTCGGACAAAATCCAACTGAATCCGAACTACAAGATATGATTAATGAAGTTGATGCTGATGGAAATGGAACAATTGACTTTCCAGAGTTCTTAACCATGATGGCAAGAAAAATGAAAGATACCGATTCTGAAGAAGAAATAAAAGAAGCATTCAAAGTATTTGATAAAGATGGTAATGGTTATATTTCTGCTGCTGAATTAAGACATGTCATGACTAATCTTGGTGAGAAACTTTCTGAAGAAGAAGTTGATGAAATGGTAAATTTATAACGTTAATAGTATCTTGTATACATTTATTTATATTATATTGTTATATTAAAATAACGAATATTATTTTTAGATTCGTGAAGCCGATGTTGATGGTGATGGCCAAATTAATTATGAAGAGTTCGTTAAAATGATGATGACCAAATAATAATTTAGCATTAATTAATTAACTTATATTTTTATTTATAAAATAATTTTTAATTGTTCATATATATCTTGTATGTATGATTTATAAAGATGTGACGTATTATTTTTAATATCATAATGCAATGATTGATTGATTGATTAATTAATTACTTATATGCTCTTTATATGTTATGAAAAACAAATTTTCATCGTGATCATTATTACAAATGCAATGATTTAATCAATTTATTTTATCATTTATATATGCCCTTGCTCTTGCTCGTTTTTTTTTATGAAAATATAAAACTTTCATCATCATTATTATTACAAATGCAATGATTGATTAATTAATTGATTGATTACTTTATTATTTATATGCTATGCTCTTGCTTGTGAAAATATAAAAATTTCACGTTACAAATGAAACGATGAATTAATTAATTGCTTTATTATTTATTATGTGCTCTTTCTTGTTCTGTTTTATGAAAATATAAAAGTTTTCATCGTTGTCATTATTACAAATTTTTGGTTAAATTAAGAAATTTTAATAAGCTAAAAGTTAAACAAACCACATCTCGCCATATCAATGAATCGATCTTTTAAGAATACATCTAGTAATTCTTTCCTTTGTTTTCCCTCTCGGTCTGATTATAGGGCTTCTGATTGATCTAACCCTCTTAAAAATCACCCCACCAACATCATTAACAATTTCGTCATCCACCATTATCTTATGTTTTGGTGAATTAAATGCTGTTTTTTCCTCCCCAATTTTACTTTCTTCGATCTTTTTTTTCACTTTAATTATTTTCTTTTTTTGTTTAACATCACCCTCATTCTCATGTGGTGAAGAAGAAGAAGAAGAAGAAGATTCGCAGGAACTACCTAGATTAGATGATTCATCTGAAATATAAAACTCTTCTTCTTCTTCACTACCAAAATCATGATCAATAAACCTTTTTCTTTTCCTTTTATTCGATATTTCTTCTTCACTAGTATTTCCATCGTATTCATTATCGTCCCCACCTTCTCCTTCTATTATTTCTTTCATTACATTAACGCTATTAGTAGAAAAAGGTCGTGGCCTAAAAGATCCTTGCGATGATGATGCAGGATGTTCTATGAACGAATGAGATGATAATTGAGAATTAACATCATCAGTTTGTAGAGAAGAGCTATTTGTATCTTTTGTATTATCTGTAATTAACGAATCTTGATCGCTTCCAACTAAAAATGATGGAATGTCCAATGGTATTATTGCACCGTTATCATTAATGCCGTTACCATCACCACTATCATAAGAATTGCTATTATCAACAGCTCCTAAATTAAGATTTTGTAATAATGTAGCTGTACCAGAACCTAAATTAAGATTTCCTAGCAATGTTGCTGGACCAGCTGATGACAAGGATGAACCAAATTCATAATTGTAACTGTCTAATGAATCATTATGTTGATCTTCTAATTGAAGAATAGATACAACAAATGGATATTTTTCCTAGAATATTTACTCAATTTCACCAAAAAAAAAAGAAAAAATTTTTTTGTTAAATTACATAAAAAACATTATTTTTCTACGAATAATAGAATTGCTTCCAAAAAAAAAAAACCAAAAATTTTTTTGTTACCTGCATCAAAGTTAACATGTCATCATGATAGATTTCTATTTTATTGTGTTTATATATCTTTTCAGATCCACGCATCATTATATTTGATCCAAACTTAAAAATAAATTATTAATAAACCATGTATAAATTCATTAATAGTTACAATATGTTTGCCACTTAATCACATATAAATCATCCTTAAAATTTACCAATGTAGCATAAACTCGACCATTCTTAACTTCAAATTTCACTTGTTTTTTAAAAAAAATGACGCGAGTATAATTATTAAATGATAAAGAAAACGAGAACTAGGCTGATGAAAAAAACATACCATGTACTTCATTAAGAGCTTTATCATCAACAAATCCTTGACGCCTGCCAAGTTCAAGTGTATCAGGTTCAATAAAGCTATAGACTTTATTAATTGGTTCTAAGAAAGTGATTATTACTTTTGTTAGCATTGTTATTGTTATTAAAAAAATAAAAATTACAGATAGTTGTTAATTTATTGATTTGATAGTTTATTGATTTGATTTACTGATGTGATTTGAATAAGTCACATGTTTGATGATTATAAATAATACTAACTAGTACTGGACAACAATAATAATAATTCACTGCCACTCACTCGACGTCAAGTCGCTCCAAACAAATACCTTTTATGGTAAAACGGGGAGTCGTGCGCTGTAGTTTAGCGTAAGAAAAAATATAGTAAAGAATCGGTACTACGCTTCGTATTCTTTTTGCTTAGAGTTTTTAATTTTTTTGAATTCCTTTTTTGAAAAAAACTTTTTAGAAATTCTGAGATTTTACAAACTTCAACTCATAGTAATAATAATAGTAACTGAGTGAATATGAATGATGAATTGTTTTTTATTTTCAATATTTTTATATTTTTCCGCATGATTTATTTGAAACTATGTAATCGAACAGGTTTGGTTTTTTGTTTGGTTAGTGTGATGAAGATCATATTATTTATATATGTAGAATAAAATTAGTATTAGCTAAAGCTAAAAAACATTTTTATTTGACGAATTAATTTTTTTTTTTTTGAAACTCGTGAATGAAAAAAAAGAATCTCTTGACATTCATTTTTACGTCTGGAATTCAGTAGCATAGACACTTAGTTGAGATGGATCCATCTGCATTACTTTGAATGACAAAAAACACAGTATTTGTAGCAGGATAAAAGATGACAATAAAGAAAATAATAATGATGGTTAGAGTTTCTATTCGTAATACAATTTCTTATTTGAATTATTCATAATAAACTTCAATTTTTATTCGTTTTATTTGAATAAACTTTCAATGGAATTCGAATACTCAAATTCATAATGAATAAAACAAATAATAATAATAATAACGATAGTAGTAGTAATAATGATGCCAGCAAGCTTTAGTACCATTTGAGAGAGATCAACTGAAATTTATTTAAGTTTTTAGCTGACTAAGGTTTTTCTACTGGCTTACATCACTATTTATGAGATATTGTAAGATGGTGCAATGTGTAATTATTGATGAATTGTTAATCAAAGAATAATTGAAAGATATCCAAATATTTTATTAACTGGAAATTTAAAAGAAACACCTCGTATTTTAGATTAGGATGGATTAGGAGTGTTGTATAAAAGTTAAATAAATAATGATACTACAAATCCAATTGAGAAACTAATGATAATGAAAACAATGATAATAATAATGAAAACAATGATAATAATAATGACAATAATGATAATATTAAAAAAATATTAAAAATGATAGCATCAATGACATTGATGACATTGGTGATAATGATAAACAAAGTTTAGTCTAGATCAAGGCTCAAATATTAACAAATCAAAAGGTCGGGATTATTGCAGCAGAAATATCAAGAAAATGTTTCAACCAATTGGGATACGCATACACATCTTCTAGAAGAATGAAAATTATGTTTAGTGTTAAATAAGCCAAATATGCAGGCAGTGATTTAATAATATAATAACATTTTAAATGAATAGAATTTAATATATTACTTTATATACCTTTTTAAAAGGTTGTTCTACGATCAATCAAGTATTGGGTTGTATTTAAAGTAAAACTTGGTGGTAAATTGTGAACTGAAGTTGGTAATATTTTGAGAATAATGGTTAATGATTTATTCAAAGTGTTTTTTTTCTTTAATATAATGGTGGTTATTATTGATTATAGGAGTTATTCAGCAAGTGAATTGCATGCAAAATTTGAGATGGAAAATGTAGAAATGTTGATAATGAAGAAAGTTATTATTAATCTTTATTAATTTTAAAATAAATATAATCAAAGAGATTAAATAATTGAATAATAAATTCTTGTAGCAAGTGTTAAAAAATATTGTTTTAATTGATAATAAATAAATTATTGTATTTAATATTTTAATTTCTAATTGGTAAAGGATAAGCTTATTGAATTTAAATATCCATTTGTTCTCGTTTTTCTTCTAATTCCATTTTCAATTCAGTCATTTCCTCTTTAAGTCTACAAAGCTTCTGTAATTCTTCATTATTGATAATATCATGTAATTTGTCTTTCTTCCGGGTTAGTGAATTGTGTAAAAGTGTTAGATCCTCCTGACTTTTCAATACTTCATTTAAAATAGTCAAATCATCCTGAGTTATTTTGGTTTTGATATTATCAAAAAGCTCTTCGAACTCTTTTCTTTTATCATCTAGTTCCAGTCCGGATAATTCTTCAGTTGGTTCATCGTCATCATCATCATCACTTTTATTAAAACTATAACTGAAATTAGCGTTGTCACCAACTGTAACGCCAATTATTGTAAGACCATTTGTGACGGTCACTTGTCCTCCTATGTTAATAGGTCGTTTTTCTTGAACTTGATCGTTATCTATTTTCATGATATTATTATTATAGAATTGGCAAAGGAATTAAAGAAAAAATTCGTTTTAGTGTGACCATTGCGTGATATCCGATGGACGGGTATAACCAAATTTAGAATTACTAACCAAATATATATATACAATAACATCATAATTTGGTATAACCTTGTCACAGCGAATGAACAGGTGGGACACATAAAAAAATCCGTTATGAAAAGAATTTAATTACTGGAAAGATAGAATCCCCTTTTTACATATGTGTAACATTTTTTTTATATTGACGCTCAATTGTTTTAAAGTAGGGGTGCTATCTTTCCAGACTTTACGGTATTATTATAGTCCGTTCTGGCGTGACAAGGTTTGACCGTATGGTGCAAAACTTTAAAATATAGATTTAAATTTGTTTTATATTGCAAGAAGCGCAAAAGGTTTTTATATGACCATTTAGGAAACAGTCATTTAATCAATTCAAACAAGAATTCTTTAGGATTGAACGTTTATTCTTATTCAAGAAACTAGCTCGATGTGCAATTATTACGCGCTGATAGTAGGATCCCGCAAACTTTATAGGTCAGAACAAAAATTTCTGTTCGTTATATGATTTGACCCAGACTAAAATTAAGTTTAATATATAACTTGACTCTAAATTTTGCAATAATAAAATTAGAAAAAAGAACATAATTTGACCCATAATACAATTATTATAACAATTGAATGTTTATAAATTATTTTATTTAATTCAAATTGTATTTAAGTTTACTGGAATGTATAGTATTTTTCTTTTCTTTGCATAAGAATTTTGAAATTTCTATATCAAAACACTTGAGATGTTCTCGGCTAAGGTTTTTCTGTTGGCTTACATCATTATTTGTGAGATGGCGAAATATGCAATTATTGATGAATTGTTAATCAAAGAATAATTGAAAAATATCCAAATGTTTTATTAACTAAAAATTTAGAATAAACTTCTTCTATTTTAGATTGGAATGTATTAGGAGCGTTGCATAAAAGTCAAATAAATAATGATATCAACAATCCAACTGAGAATTTGGATGAAATCAATGATAATAATAATAATGACAATAATGGTAATATTAAAAATGATATTGATGATAATGATGAACAAAATTTAGTCTAGACCAATGCTCGAATATTAACAAACCAAAAGGTTGAGATTAGTGTTGGTTTCCAAAAACTAGAGAGTTTCGCAAGTCAAAAGATTTCGTCATAAGTCGAAACTAGTTTTGATTTTTGATTATTGACTTTTGATTTAGTTTTGACATATAACTTTTAATTTTATTTTTTGACTTTCGCGCCTTCAAAATAGTTTTGGCGACCAACACTAGTTGTGATAATAAAGAAAATCAATTAGGATACGCACACATATCTTCTGAAAGAATTACACATCAGAAAATTACGTTCAGTGTTAAAAATAAGCCAAATGTTCAGATAATGATTTAATAATAATAGCATTGTAAATGAATTATATATATATATATTTAAGTTCTAATCAATTATTGGGTTTTATTTAAAGTAAACTTGGTGGTAATTGTGAGCTGAAGTTGGTAATATTTGGGGAATGGAAAATGTATATAGGAGAATTATGGTTAGTGATTTATTCAAAGTGTTTTTTCTTTAATAACAGTGGTTATTATTTAATTGGTCGATTTATAGGAGTTATTCAGCAAGCGAATTGCGAAATCTGAGATGGAAAATGCCTTTGGCTTTGCAACATGTGTAGAAATGTTGATAGTGAAGAAAGTTATTATTATTCTTTATTCAAAAGATTTGTCTGTCATTATTAATTTTAAATAAAACATATAAATAGAAGCAAATAATAAATTAAAGAGATTAAATAATTGAAGATTAGAGTAAAATTTTAAGTTTTATATTATATAAAAAATTAGATGGTTTTAATTGATAATAAATTATTGTATTAAATATTTTAATTTCTAATTGGTAAAGGGATAAGCTTATTGAATTTGAGCATCCATTTGTTGTTATTCATTCATTTTCATTCCCAAATTCAGTTATTTCTTCTTTAAGTTTGCAAAGCTCCTCTAATTCTTCGTTGCTGATAATATTATGTAATTTGGCTTTCTTCTGGATTAATTGTTCTTGCCTTTTGCTGATATCTTCGGCAGTGATAGATGATGAATTGCGCAAATGTGTTAGAGTCTCCTGATCATCCAATACTTCCTTTAAAATAGCCAAATCATTCTTGGTTATTTTGGTTTCGATTTTCACAAGAAGTTTTTCGAACTCGAGCTTCGTTTTTTTACTATTCAGTTCCAGTTTGGATGATTTTTCAGGTGATCCATTTTGAATATTATAACCGAAATTAGCATTGGCACCAATGGTATTGCCAAACATTGCATGGCCATTTGTGATGTTGAAAGATTCTACCATGATTATTATTATTGTTGTTTTAGTTTTTTTTTTTTTTTTTGTTTTTTTTTTTCTTTTGTTTTTTTTTTTCCCCAAGTTGAAGTTTATTTTTATTAAAGTATAATTGTGTAAAATATAATAATAAAATACAAACGATTAAATAAAAAAATAAAACTACTGCCCCTGCTACTATTAATCCAAAGAAATTATTATTATTTTAGTATTGACGAAGGAATTGAATGCCAATATTTAAAGACTAAAATTCGTTAGTTCAACTCCGTTGGTGTTACAATTGTGTGAAACTCAATAGATTGGTTTAACCAAATTTAGAATGCACTAGCCAAATATTTACAACATAAATAGTTTCCTGTGGTATGGTACACGTCATTTATAAGGGTTTTTATAAGGCTATTTAGAAAAGTCATTTAATAAATTCAAACGTTAAAATTGTTCCAACGCGGAATTATTTTGCACTAGTACTATAATATAATGTATTGGATATGATCGATAAATACGTTCTAGATAGTGTTGTTTATTAACAAATATTTTGTTTGAGTGAACGAAGGAATAATTTAAATTGTATGAAACGGATGAATAATTCGTGTACTATCTAATGATCTATGACGAAAATTTTGAAACTATTATAATACCATTATAATACCATTCAAATTACACTTCCTTTTTACATCCAATAATAAGCTCATAAGATAATATTGCTAAGGCAATAAATAATTAATTTTTAAAAAAATATCAGATTAGCTGTGGAAACTCTTTTTCAATTGTCAGTAATCCATATTTTATAGATCTTCTTCAACAACTCCATCCTGCATATCAACCACCATCTAGAAGTGATTTATCTGGAAAATTTCTTTATACAGAAATATCTAATGTCGATAATAAATTAAATTCAATATTAGAAAATGACAAAAACCTGACATTAAATGACTATCATCATCATCATCATCATTTTATTTTACTTACCTTAAATTTATAATTAAAATAGCAATTGATGACTGATCTAGTCCTCAGATTTTGTCAATTTGGTGACATATACACCTGATAATAAGCAATATTTGTAGAATTGTGCGACCTATCCTCTAAAGCCATACTGCACAATATATTGCAACCAAAATTATGAATAAAGTTGATTCATTTAGGTTTTCTGCAGTAGTATCAGATGGTACCTCCAATGTGAGTGGTGCCAGGAAAATTATTACTAATAAATTTAAACACATAATCAACTTACATTGCATAGCCCATTTTATCAACTTGGTGACCAAAGATATTATCCAACATAATTATGCAAAAAGTCTGATTTTTTAAAAGGTCCCATAGAGCAACTAGTATATTGAAAGAAAACATCAATAAAAATAACATTATTGGTGGCAGTTTGAAGAAATATATGAGGCATCTTGGACATCAGTTTATGATATGGTGGCATCTGTCATAAGACTCAACCATGTTTTGATTTATTTAAATTATAAATAGATTTTGAGAGAAAATGATGATTTGGTTACAGAATATTCTTCAGTCAGGAGAGATTCCGTACAACTTGCAATTCCGTACCGTATTTTTTTTTTGCTCTTACTCTGTACATTTTTTATTTATATTTTTTAATTTGTATGGAACGGAATTTGTGAATTCCGAAAAGTTGATTGGTGGAGGCCAGTCGATTTTTATTTTTTAATTTTGTACGGAACGGAATTTGTGAATTTTGAAAAGTTGATTGGCGGGGCAGTCTGTACGATCTTCGATTCCATATTTTTGTTTCATATACAGAGCATTTTTTTACTACTACTACAGAGGCGCAGATGTACGGAATACGGAACCTCTATAGACTTAATATTCTTAAACAAGGAACTTTTTTTGACAATTTAGAAGATTTGTCTCATATATTAAAACAAATAAAAAATTCAATTGTAGAATTAGAATTGGATGGTTGTAATTTAGCTGATTGTTATCTCAACTTAGTTAAGTTGGCAATAGCTATAAATTCAATTCCAAGAGTATAACAAATTATTCCAAGACTATTGTATACACAAGTATAATAAAAGATGGCAAGATTTTGAGTATGATGAATTTTTGTTGTGTTTTTTTCCTACATTCAGCATATAAAAGTAATTAATCAATTGAAAATTAATACAGGTCACTCGCATTATAAGAACATCGGCAAAAAATGTCCGTATAACAATATGTTCTTATAACGGGGAATTCATATAAAAGTATGTGATTCATAAAAAAGGCTATATAAAATAGAACATAGCCTTTTTATTACCGTAAAGTCTGGAAAGATAGCACCCCCTACTTTAAAACAATTGAGCGTCAATATAAAAAAAATGTTACACATATGTAAAAAGGGGATGCTATCTTTCCAGACTTTACGGTATTATCTTCTTTAGACAATTAATTGGTGAGAAAGTAATATTTTATTTTATTTTAAAAATAAAATCGTTTTAATCATTTTACATTAGTGTTGGTTGCCAAAACTATTTTGAAGAGGCGAAAGTCAAAACTAAAATTAAAAATTATATGTCAAAACTAAATCAAAACTAGTTTCGACTTATGACGAAACCTTTTGACTGCGAAACTCTCGAATTTTGGAAACCAGCATTAATTTACATTAATTATTTTAATGATAATATTTAAAAAATTTATTGAGTTTTGCTGAAAAAGGACCTGTATAATTTTTATTCATAAATTTTTATTAGTATATAAAAATCCAAACTTGTTTGTAGTTTTGTTATCATCGAAAAAACAATTCGCAAATCGATTTTGAAAATAAAAAGTGCTTTGTCACAATCAAAACAATTTGTAAAATTATTGTTAATTTTAGTGCTAAGCTTGATTTAATATTAAAACGTAATTCTAATTATTGTCAGGAATTTGAGTGGGGCGCCTGTAACAAAGTTGAAAAAAATTTATTATTGATGGTTTCGGGTATAATTCTATTTTTATTGATAACTAACATTCCTTATACCTTTTTCCAATTATATGTTCACAACAAATCTGATGAAAACAGATTGAGAAACAGAATACATGTAGATACATTGAATAGTCATTTAATGATTTTACAAGATTTTAATTTTGAAAAAGCATAAACATTGGGCAAATAAAAAAGAAGAATTCAATATAAATTTTAAATTTTATAAAATTATTTTTACTAAAAAATGTGCGCATTTTTTATATAACACTCGATTTCTTACATTACGATCAGAATGATTTTATTGGTTCTCTAGTTATACTGACACGTCCTTATTGTTATAATGGATATTACTATAACGGACGGATAAATTTTATAATTATAATTATAAAAAAAATTTTTACCAAATTATGTTCTTATAACGGGAGTAAATTTATATTTATAAAATTCGTTATTGAAAAAATAGCATAGTAACGAGATTGTCAATGTAACGTGCTGTTCTTATAACGAGAGTGATATGTATAATGAACCATAAAAAATAAATTATCATTAATGATTGATTTAATATTTGATTAGGTAAAGGTATAAGGAGTGATAATTTTAGAAGAATTACAGAAACTGCTGCAATATTATATCAAAATCCTAAACATCTTGTAATGAGCCGTATGATAATGCAGTGCTTTAATTTCGGGTTTTATATAATTATCAATTATATATATATATATCTCTTCTGCAAGAATTGCACATCAGGAAATTATGTTCAGTGTTAAATAAGCCAAATGTTCAGGTAATGATTTAATATAATTGAATAAAATTCAATATATTACTTTATATATATATATTTTTAAAAGGTTGTTCTATGATCTAATCAAGTATTGGGTTTTATTTAAAGTAAACTTGGTGGTGATTGTGAGCTGAAGTTGGTAATATTTGGGGAATGGAAATGTATATAGGAGAATTATGGTTAATGATTTATTCAAAGTGTTTTTTCTTTAATAATAATGGTTATTATCTAATTGGTCGATTTATAGGAGTTATTCAGCAAGTGAATTGCGAAATTTGAGATGGAAAAGGCTTTTGGTTTTGCAATATATGTAGAATGTTGAAAGTGAAGAAAGTTACTATTATTCTTTAATGGTGGTTTAAAATATTTGGCTGTCATTATTAATAAATATAAGTAAATAATAAAGAGATTAAATAATTAAATATTAGTGTAAAATTTTAATATTTTAATCTTTCATTTTCATTTCGATTTCAGTTATTTCTTCTTTAAGTTTGCAAAGCTTCTCTAATTCGTCGTTGCTGATAATATTACGTAATTTGTCTTTCTTTTGGTTTAATTGTTCTTGAACTTTGCTGCAGATCTTTTCGGCAGTAATATATGGTGAATTGCGCAAATGTGTTAGAGTCTCCTGATCATCCAATACTTCCTTTAAAATAGCCAAATCATTCTTGGTTATTTTGGCTTCGATTTTCCCAAAAAGTTTTTCGAACTTCATTCTTTTATTATTCAGTTCCAGTCTGGATAATTCTTCAGGTAGTCCATTTTTAATATAAGTATAACTGAAATTAGCGTTGGCACCAATGGTATTGCCAAGCATTGCATGACCATTTTTGACGTTGAAAGATTTTACTTGAGCTTGATCGATTTTTTCCATGATTATTATTATTATTATTATTATTATTATTATTTTAGTAGGAATTGAATGCCCAATATTTAAAGACTAAAATTCGTTGGTTCAACTCCGTTTGTGCTACCATTGTGTGAAACTCGATAAATTGGTTTAACCAAATTTAGAATACACTAGCCAAATATTTACAACATAAATAGTTTCCTCACGTCATTTATAAGGGTTTTTATAAGACTATTTAGAAAACGGTCATTTAATAAAATTCAAACGTTATTTATATTTTAAGAAATTGTTCCAATGGAATTATTTCGCACTAGTACTGTAATATAATGTATTGGATATGATCGACAAACTACGTTCTATATGGATAGTGTTGTTTATTAACAAATATTTTGTTTATTTGTAATACATTTTGTATGAAACGGATGAATAATCCGTGTACTATCTGACGAAACTTTTGAAACAATACCATTCAAATTACAAATCACTGTGCTAACTTCCACTTCCTTTTTACATCCAATAATAAGCTCATAAGATAATATTGCTTAAGGCAAGAAATAATTAATTTTAAAAAAATATCAGATTAGCTGTGGAAACCTCTTTTTCAATTGTCAGTAATCCATACTTTATAGATCTTTTTCAACAACTCCATCCTACATATCAACCACCATCTAGAAGTGTTTTATCTGGAAAATTTCTTGATACAGAAATATTTAATGTCGATAATAAATTAAATTCAATATTAGAAAATGACAAAAACCTGACATTAAGTGACTATCATCATCATCATCATTATTTTATTTTACTTACCTTAAATTTATAATTAAAATAGCAATTGATGACTGATCTAGTCCTCTGAATTTGTCAATTTGGTGACATATACACCTGATAATAAGCAATATTTGTAGAATTGTGCGACCTATCATCTAAAGCCATACTGCACAATATATTGCAACCAAAATTATGAATAAAGTTGATTCATTTAGGTTTTCTGCAGTAGTATCTCCAATGTGAGTGGTATCAGGAAAATTATTACTAATAAATTCAAACTTACATTGCATAGCCCATTTTATCAACTTGGTGACCAAAGATATTATCCAACATAATTTTGCAAAAAGTCTAATTTTTTAAAAGGTCCCATAGAACAATTAATATATTGAAAGAAAACATCAATAAAAATAACATTATTGGTGGCAGTTTGAAGAAATATGTGAGACATGTTGGACATCAGTTTATGATATGGTGGCATCTGTCATAAGACTCAAACCATGTTTTGATTTATTTAAATTATAAATAGATTTTGAGAGAAAATGATGATTTGGTTACAGAATATTCTTCAGTCAGGAGAGATTCCGTACAACTTGCAATTCCGTACCGTATTTTTTTTGCTCTGTACATTTTTTATTTATATTTTTTAATTTTGTACGGAACGGAATTTGTGAATTCTGAAAAGTTGATTGGTGGGGCCAGTCTGTACGATCTTCGATTCCATGTTTTTGTTTCATACAGAGCATTTTTTTACTACTACTACAGAGGTGCAGATGTACGGAATACGTGACTCAATATTCTTAAACAAGGAACTTTTTTTGACAATTTAGAAGATTTGTCTCATATATTAAAACAAATAAAAAATTCAACTGTAGAATTAGAATTGGATATTTGTAATTTGCTGATTGTTATTTCAACTTAGTTAAGTTGGCAATAGCTATAAATTCAAATTCCAAGAGTATAACAAATTATTCCAAGATTATTGTATTCACAAGTATAATAAAAGATGGCAGGATTTTGAGTATGATGAATTTTTGTTGTGATTTTTCCTACATTCAGCATATAAAGGTAATTAATCAATTGAAAATTAACACAGTTCACTCACATTATAAGAACATCAGCAAAAAATGTCCATATAACGATATGTTCTTATAACGGGGAATTCATATATTTATTGAGTTTTGCTGAAAAAGGACCTGTATAATTTTTATTCATAAATTTTTATTAGTAGTTTTGTTACCATTGAAAAAATAATTCGTAAATCAATTTTGAAAATAAAAGGTGCTTTGTCACGATCAAAACAATTTGTAAAATTATTGTTAAATTTAGTGCTAAACTTGATTTAATATTAAAACGTAATTCTAATTATTGTCAGGAAATTGAGTGAGGCCTGTATTAGCAGAAAATTCGACAAAGTTGAAAAAAATTTATTATTGATGGTTTCGGGTATAATTCTATTTTTATTGATAACTAACATTCCTTATACCTTTTTCCAATTATATGTTGAAAGAATATTTTCACAACAAATCTGGTGAAAACCAATTGAGAAATAGAATACATGTAGATACATTGAATAGTCATTTAATGATTTTACTAAATGTTCCAGATATTCAAGATTTTTAATTTTGAAAAAGCATATAAACATTGGGCAAATAAAAAAGAAAGAATTCAATATAAATTTTAAATTTTATAAAATTATTTTTACTAAAAAATGTGCGCATTTTTTTTATATAACACGATTACGATCAGAATGATTTGATTGGTTCTCTAGTTATACTGGCACGTCCTTATAACGGGAATAAATTTATTCGTTTTTGAAAAAATGGCATAATAACGAGATTGTCAATACAACGTGCTGTTCTTATAACGAGAGTGATATGTATAATGAACTGTAAAAAATAAATTATCATTAATGATTGATTTAATATTTGATTAGGTAAAGGTATAAGGGAGTGATAATTTTAGAAGAATTGCAGAAACTGCTGCAAGATTATATCAAAATCCTAAACAACTTGTAATGAGCCGTATGATAATGCAGTGCTTTAATTTCGGGTTTAATATAATTATTAATTATTATGTTATATATATATATGTATATATATGACTCAAAATTCATTTATTGATAAACAAAATTTAGTCTAGACCAACGTTCAAATATTAATGAATCAAAAGGTTGGGATGATTGCAGCAGAAATATTAAGAAAATATTTTCAACCAATTGGAATACGGCACACACATCTTCTGCAAGAATTGCACATCAGGAAATTATATTCAGTGTTAAATAAGCCAAATGTTCAGGTAATGATTTAATATAATTGAATAAAATTCAATATATTACTTTATATATATATTTTTAAAAGGTTGTTCCACGGTCTAATCAAGTATTCTTCTGCAGTTTCTATTTCCAAATATTACTAACTTCAGCTCACAATTTACCACCAAATTACTTTAAATAAAACCAATTATATATAGTTATTGATTTATTCAAAGTGCTTTTTCTTTAATATAATGGTGGTTATTATTTAATTAGTCGATTGATTGATTATAGGAGTTATTAAGTGAATTAATTGCATGTAAAATTTGAGATGGAAAATGGCTTTTGGTTTTGCAATATATGTAGAATGTTAATAGTGGAGAAAGTTACTATTACTCTTTAATGGTAGTTTAAAAGAGTTGGTTTTAATTATTAATTTAAAAATAAAAATACATAAATATAAGTAAAATAATGAATTAAAGAGGTTAAATAAAATGAACATTAGTGTAAATTAAGTCCTATATTATAAAAAAACTATTGTATTTAATATTTTAATTTCTAATTGGTAAAGGGATAAGCTTATTGAAATTGAGCGTCCATTTGTTCTCTCATTTTCAATTCAGTTATTGCTCCTTTAAGTTCGCAAAGCTTCCGCAATTCTTCGTTACCGATAATTTGATGTAATTTGTCTTTCTGGTGGTTTAATTTTTTTTGAATTGTGCTGATCCTTTCGGCATCAATATGTGGTAAATTGTGGAAAGTTGTTAGAGTCACCTGTTCATACAATACTTCACTTAAAATTGTCGAATTATCGCTGGATCCATGACTCTTTTGTTCATATTCGATTATTTTAATTTTGATTTGACCAAGAAGTCTTTCAAACTCTACTTCCTTAGCTAATCTTTCATTAGCCAGTTTCAGTTTGTTTAGTTGTTTAGTTAGTTCATTATTCTTATTCTTATTATTATAACTTAAATCAGTATGGTTGCCAAAGCTATTTCCAACCACTGAATGACCGTTTCCGACAGTTGGTGGTTTTGGTACAATGATAGTTTCTCTTTGAATGTTGTTTTTCGACATGGTTGTTATAATTATTATTTTAGGCAGAAGGAACGCGTATTTAAACTAAAATTTTGTTTTATAGGTTTAACCAAATATATACAACGCCATTTATAAAAGCCTAGCCCCAAAGAATAAAGTTTGAATTTGTTATTGTATGCAAGAGATATATGGTCATTTAAACAGTCATTTAATTAACTCAATGAGAATTCTTATTTAAGAAATTGGTCAAACGCAGAATATTACACACTGGCAGCGTAGTATAACGTATTGGGTATAATTGAAAAAAAAACAATGCGTTCTAGAGTGTTGTTTATAAATATTAACAAATATTTGTTTGGACGGACAAATAATCCGTACACTAGCCAATGGTTTTGGGTTGTTTTTCATGTTAAAACATTTGTAGTGGTGGCGTAATTTTGAAGAAGGCAACAGTTTTCTTGTAATAGATAATAATATAAACAATTGACCCATAACAAAGTGAAAATTATGTCATAGTATATACACTTCTATGCAAAGTATGTTTCAGGATAATAAGAATAATTATTCATTCAGATATTTTATTAGGAGGCGAAGAACAATAGTTGTAATTTGTAGAAATGAATTATTAATTAGTTGAACGTACAAAATGGGATTCAAAGAAAAAAGTTCCTTTTCTGGAAATATCATTGTAAAATAGAAATATTTTTATGAGAGACAAGAGGCCAACTTTAGATATAAAGATAATACTAATTTAATTGACATGCATATGAGTAATTCTTTTGAAAAATAACTCCTTTTAGAATAAATTCTTAAGCTTCAACTTAAAACCCAAATCTTCAATCAACTATTCGCTAGTGCCATACCTTATTTATCCGTTCCATACAAACATATTCTGTTTTCATTGTCATCAATTGCTGTATCTCTGCTCTTCTACAAAAATAATAGGTACTAACACTTTTGAATATAATTAACAAATACTATTAATATTAATACTTGATATATCTCTTTCCCATGGATGGAAAGTTAAAAAATCACTAGGTATTTAAATTGCAAATTTATTACATGGCAAATTACCACTATTTATCGCTCAGTAAATAGTATAAATAGTATTTAAAACTCAGTTGTTTGGTGATTAATTAATTAAAACATCATATAGTTTAAAAACAATGAATAACATAAATTTTGCATCTAATTCAAATATAACAATAATAATATTATATTACAATAAAAAAAATAACATGTACATATGATTTTAGTTATAATATAATTATTAAATATTAAATATTTATAAGATAAAACCACCAGAGCAATTGCATGGGAAGCTATCGATAAGGATTGCCTAATCTTTGGTTGCTCTGATCTATTCTAGATTTTCAGTTGATCAAAATAATCTTTGGTTGACGTCATTTTTTAATGATCGCCAAGAATCAAGTGAATGAACTTTTTTATTAAAAACTTATAATTTTGACAAATACAGTTCACTCTCTATGCAACGGACAATTTTAGGGAAAAATGACCGTTATAGAAGAATTCGTTATCGACAGTAATAATTTTATATGTGACATACAAGTTGGGCTTAAATTCTCATTCCTTTATTGAGCAAGATCTGTCATAGAGAATGAACCGTAGACGTCAACATCAGCTGGAATAACTGACAGACAAGAATGGGCTTCATCCTTGATAAATCTTCTGGCTCTTAATAATCATTTACTACTGGAGAATGCATTCCACAACTAGTTAACGTACTTCTTCCTTACATTAGATTCCTAATAAATAATCAATTATTTGATAATTCTTGTATTATATTTTAGTATTATATCATTGCACGCATCTTTTCAGGCATTATTTAAACGAGGCGCACAATTCCACTTGAGTGGTTACTTACATTAATATTGTTTGACGAAATGTTACCAAAGTTGTAAAACTATTAGTCAAAATTAAATCAAAAATGACACGAGTAAAATTGCTTTAAAGGCTAATGAAATATAAAGCTCATAAAAAAATTTATAATATATATTCCGAAGGTCTTTTTTTTAAAATATTTTTCTTGAGTATCACAATCTCTCTTTGTTTCATCAGTTGTTCCCAAGGAGCTAAGTTTTTTTTTTTTTATGAATACCAATTCAGCTCCCACACACTTGTTTACTACTTGTATTAATAGCGTGATACATGATTGTGATAGGAATTCTGTCTAATAATAATAGTAATAGTAATTATTATCAAATGAAAATTTTATGCAAAAGCTTTTTATCATCAAATTACTGTGTAATAATTAAGTTACTTTGAAATAACAAAATCCATCTTTACCTTGTTGCAATGATAACTTCTAGTCTCCGCTTGAAAAAGCATAACTTCGGGTCCTTGCAGAGGAAAATAATGGATAATTCATTCTAATAAAACTCTGTGATTAAAAATAAAACTTGTTTAAAAGTGCTCTGATGAAGGCGACAAGTGCAGTTAGCACCTTGGTAAAAAGGTAACAATCGTAGAGCTTTGGTAAAAAGCCATGTTTATTTGCTTTAGTGAGCAAGCAAGCAGGGTTAGGACTAACGTTGGTTAACTAGCGGGTGTTAATGAAGTATCATTCAAAGGTTAATAATCGGAAACAGTGGCAATATTATTGTAATCGTAAATGTAAGACTGTAAAACAAACTACTCGAGTTGTTTTGCAAGCAGACCAAGCGAGGTTGTAATCGGTAAATAAATGTAAACACTGAAATCAATTGATCACAAGTGAATAAAATGAACTTTATAGCATTGCAAAAGGGTCATATTTATTTATTTGCAGTTATCTACCATCAACATATTCGTCTAGGTGGATGAAAGAGAGAACCAATGTAAATTCGTAAACTAACTAATTGAAAAGCACCGAATTATTTGCAATTAACCGACAAGAGTAGCCCAAAAGTTAAAATGATACCACCATTTAACAAGAATCAGGAAACTGTAAAAAATTTATTGAAAAACAAAATAATGATAAAATAAAAAAAGATAATAATAAATCTATAGTGGAGATTAAATTAGTCATTCATTCCATCTTTTCTTTTACTATTATTACTATAATCTAATGTTTATTAATATTGTTAGTAATAATCAATATTGATAATAATTTCCAATTAATTAATAATGAAAGTTTTATTCACCTTTGTTGACATTCTAGAGAAAAGAGTTAAAACCAAGATTATTCAACGAACTGTCATTAGTTGTATAACTTTTTAAGCTTTTAGATTTAGCAATCTCTTCGTCCAAAATTCTACTTGTATGATATGCATCCGGATGTGATTCGTATACTTGTTGCGAAGCACCACCACCACCATCACTGCTGCTGCTGCCATCATCATTAAAATTGATTTTAGAAAATCTTTTTATTAAACTATTATTTTTTAAATTCTTATTTGTTAAACTTTTATTTTCAAGAGTTTCATTTTTAATAATTTCATCATGTTTATTTATAGCAAATTTCCAAAGCTCTCTACAAGTTGGTCTTTTTAATGGATCCACGTCCCAACACTTCTGCATCATTTGCACATAATCATCAGGCATTCCAGGTAGTATTGGTGGTCGTAAACCTTCGCATATATCAACAATCAAACAATGATTGTGAGCTCTATCATCAAATGGTGGGTGACCTGCAAATATTTCCCACATTAACATCCCAACACTATAGATATCTGTCTCATTTGTGTTCTTTGTGTTATTGCCTTCAAGTAATTCGGGTGCAACATATGATACAACTCCATAAACTTTGTTTGATGACTTTTCATCAACTGGTCCACATAACCCCAAATCTGTAATAAAACAATTACCTCCTTGCAATAATACATTACCACTATGTAGATCACAATGGATTAAATCTTTCCGATGTATATCATCTAGTGCATTGCATAAATATCTAAATATTTTGATTCTGTCTTTTAATGTTAAATTTAAATGATTTTTTTTCAAATAACTCCTTAAATTTCCATCTCTAAAATAATTTAAAACCATTGCATAATTTCCATTATCTGAGAATTTAGTTATACCATAGCAGCCAACAATCAACCCTGATTTAATTTCACAATAATTCATTGCCTGAAAATAAAATATAAAATCAATTAGTATTATATTTATAATACATTATTGTTTATTTTGTTTAAATGACAACTACAAACCTCATCAAAAAAAGCCTTTCCTGGATTACTTGAATCATTTAAACTTTTTAATACTACTAGTTGCTCTCCTAAATAACTAAATTCCTTTTTATTTTCATTGTAATCATCAATAGTTCCTCTTGTCCATATTGCAGTAAAAATTGAACTAAATCCACCTTCTGTCAACTTTGTTATATCTTCAAATTGCTCAAAAGGTATCCATTCTAAAATATGAGTTGGCAGAGATGATTTTATTTGACATTGTTGAATAAAATCATCAATTATGTTATTTCCAGATGTCCAAGTGATGAAAAGTCTCTGCAATTGTAAACTAATACAACCTTCACAGTACCTATCAGAGTATCTTGTCAATTTACACTTGTTACATTCTTTTGATTTGCCCTGTTTATATGTTACATTGTATAATTCAATCTCATAAATAAACCTTTCCTTACAATATTCTTTTTCATTTTCAGAAAGCTCCTTGTTTTTTTTAACCAATGAAAAAAAATAATCTTTTCTACTTTCTCTATCTGAATTAGCATTAGCATTATTATACATTTCACTATAAATTTTATATAGAAAGTCCTTTCTTTCTTGTGATAATGATGATAATCGGCCAACATGTGACATTATGTAAAAATATAAAATATAAATTTAACTTGGTATCTTAATGAAAAATTTTTTTTTTTTTGAGGATAACGGTTACATTATTAAATTGCGTGTAACAGTCTTTTTGTGCAAATTTTTTTTCTCTATTACTATTACTATGATAAGGATGTAAATTGAAAAACGAAATTTGCAATATTGATCAACCTATGTTGCTTCAAACTCAGGCATTAAAGACAGCTCAGGCACATTATTAATATTATTGTGTATTATTATAATGCATAGTTAACTTCAAAAATC